TTGTTCAGCAGGCGGACAGAAAGAAAGCCCTTTCTTCTTTAGCTGGGCGAATGTAACTTTTGGAAGATCCAGATTGGGGCAGGTCTACCACACCTCAAAAACCCTTTGAGTGCTAGCAGACCCTTTGAGTGCTTAGACTACACTAGAGCCCAATGCGTCCCACCTTTTGTAATAAATAGATGCATTTCCCCACCCCCCTTCGTACATTAGAATGGATATCTCTGATATCACCTGCAGGTGGGCATAAAATGAAATTTGATGTTGTGTATGTTAATAATGCTCCTCGCACCCTAAGTGTTATACGTCTCTGCATGTGAGTTTAGGGAACGTACATAAATACGACCTTTAAAAGGTCTTTTTTGGCTTTCTGATAGTTTAGGGGAGGGAAGCACTTGTAGGGGAGAAAATTAAGGCTTAGTGTTACCATTTAAAGTGCAACAGCATTGTGCTGAACTATATGCTATTACAACTGAAGTGAAAATAATTTATGCACATTTACTGATACCACATACCTCATATTTGCTGGAAATCTGGGCAATGCATAGGTTTCCCAGGTGAAAGCAGAGACATTATTTTTACTCCCTTTGGACATTAATGGAACACTCCAGGCAGCCGTTTTTACTCACCTGGTTCCAGCGCCGGGAGCCTCGTGAAGCCGCACCCCCTATTTCGTCAAACTGACGAAATAGGCGGGCGCGAGCAGGGAGCAATCAGACGGTTCCATTTGAAAGCGTCATTGCTCCCGTGGCTCATGCGTGGCTTCGCCGCACATGCGCATATACCTCATAGGGCGGCATTGAGCGCACTATGAAGTCCTGAGCGCACTACCACGCATGCGTGGCCACGAGCTGAGCTGACTCACAGCTCAGCTCACGGTCTTTGCCCGCCCCCTCTCCTCTGCTGACAGGCAGGAGAGAGAAGGCGCGCACATAGTGCCTTCTCTCTCCTGCACACATCAGACGTATTTTAATACGTCTGACGTGTACATGGCCTTTTTAGGGCCCTGCATGATAGGAAGTCCCTCTGGTGGCCGTCTGAGTGACAGCCACTCGAGGTATTCCTATCAATCAATGTAAACACTGTATTTTCTCTGAAAATACAGTGTTTACATTAGATTGCCTGCAGGGAGCTATAGATCTCACCTGAACAACTACATTAAGCTGTAGTTGTTCACGTGACTATAGTGTCCTTTAATGTGTTTCTCTGAAACCTGTCCTCAGCTCTTAAATGTAGTAGTAGCTGTAATAAAAAAAAATATATATATAGCGTATTACTATTTCAATAAAGCAGAATTTTGCAAAAATCCACATCCTCAATGTTTATTTGCAATTCTTAGTTGCTCTTGGTTGACACAGAGACACGTCATTCGAACTTACATAGTACAATATTTTCCACTGCTAAATTTAAGTGTAATTCTATTGTGGGGAAAAAAAGCTGTACAGAAATTACTGGCAATTGTATGTAAATGAACGGTGATAGCCAGTAATTATTTCACCTGTGATTGTGACAAAGTGGACCTACATACAAGTTGTGGACGTTCTGCTGATAAATAGTATCTATCATTTTGACAGAGGCCATACCTCTGGGATCTCAGTTGGTTGTCCTGTCTACTACAAGCAATAACACTTCACTTGAGGCCCAGTGGTGTTCTCTCTAGTCATTGTGGGATATTGGTGTTTAAATATTTGATGTCCGTTGCCCACGGTGCTCGCATATTGTATGCCCATTGTCCAAGTATGTCTACTCGACCAAGAATAGAGATAATGTTCAAGTAATCTTTATTTTATAATACTTAATATGATTTACCGTATGTACTCGCGTATAAGTCGACCCGAATATAAGTCGAGACCACTAATTTTACCCCAAAAACTGGGAAACTTATTGACTCGAGTATAAGACTAGGTTGGGAAATGCAGCAGCTACTGGTAAATTTCTAAATAAGATTAGATTCCCAAAAAATTATATTAATCGAATATTTATTTACAGTGTGTGTATATAATGAATGCAGTGTGTGTATGAGTGCAGTTTGTGTGTGTATATAATGCATATAATGCAGTGTGTGTGTGTGTATGAGTGCAGTGTGCGTGTATGAATGCAGTGTGCGTGTGTTTATGAATGCAGTATGTGTGTATGAGTGGGGTGTGTGTATGAGTGCAGTGTGTGTGTGTGTATGAATGCAGTGTGTGTGTATGAGTGCAGTGTGTGTGTATGAATGCAGTGTATGAGTGCAGTGTATGTGATGCAGAGCCTTGGTGGGGGGGCATTTTTATTATTTTTTTTGATTATTATTAATATTTTTTTTATTTTAATCTTATTAAATTTTTTATTTATATTTTTTTTCGTCCCCCCCTCCCTGCTTGTTAGCTAGCCAGGGAGGGGGGCTCTCATTCCCTGGTGGTCCAGTGGTGGTGCACTGTGTAGGAAGGGGGCTGGCAGCGAGCTGTAACTTACCTGTCAGCTCCCTTCTCTCTCCTCTGGTCCGGTCAGCTCCCTTCTCCTCCACTGTAAGTCTCGCGTCCGCGCTGAGCATTCCCCGCGGCTTGCGCGAGATTTACAGGGGAGCTGACCGGACCGGAGGAGAGAGAAGGGAGCTGACAGGAGCTGCAGGAAAGGCAAGTTACAGCTCCCTGCCAGCCCCTAACAGGACTGCCGGGCTTATAATGAGCCCGGCGGTCCTGGTCTGTATTATGGCAATGACTCGAGTATAAGTCGAGTGGGGGTTTTTGAGCACAAAAAATGTGCTGAAAAACTCGACTTATACTCGAGTATATATGGTGTTTACCGAGCAATTTTCCTCAGTGCCTAATACCAGGTGTATAATAGTGTGTATTAGATCAATACCAGTGTTTATTGTGTCAACTACAATTTTTGAGATTTACCCGTCTAAAACTAGAGTAAAGCTAGAATTATTCCGATGACTAAAACTAAAATGGCATTTTAGTCAAAAGAATATGACTAAAACTAAAATTTAAATTGTCGACAAAATTAGCACTGCGCAGAGGCTGTGGAAGGGGCAAAAGAGACAGACCAGGGCTTGAGAGACACACCTTGAGGGGCTGGGGATACACAAAGAGAAATAGAGAGGCTGGGAAAGGGGCAAAAGAGACAGACCAGGGCTTGAGAGAGACACCGTGAGGGGCTGGAGACACACAAAGAGAAATAGAGAGGCTGGGAAAGGGGCAAAAGAGACAGGCCAGGGCTTGAGAGACACACCTTGAGGGGCTAGGGACACACAAAGAGAAATAGAGAGGCTGGGAAAGGGGCAAAAGAGACAGACCAGGGCTTGAGAGACACACCTTGAGGGGCTAGGGACACACAAAGAGAAATAGAGAGGCTGGGAAAGGGGCAAAAGAGACAGGCCAGGGCTTGAGAGACACACCTTGAGGGGCTAGGGACACACAAAAAGAAACAGAGAGTCTGGGAAAGGGGCAAAAGAGACAGATAGAGGCTTTAACGGAACACATTAGATTTTAGTCGTGTTGACTAAAATCTACTGGAGATTTAGTCGACTAAAACAATTCAGATGACTAAAAAGCCATTTTAGTCGTATTTTAGTCACAAGACTATGACAACAATAAAATTGAGATTTGCCACCAAAATTAACACTGATCAAAACAACAAAAGATACATTTGATTTTCAGAGACCCACCTGATCTTTTACAATCTAAAGGGAAATGGTGTGTGAGACAAAGAGGGGCCAAGTTCACTAAAATAAAACTTGTTATGCTTGTAGATAATGGAGAATTTTCCAAATCAGCTGTTGTTGCCTAAATTTTACGGTTCAGTTTAAAACTAACTAGAATTCAGAGTTAAGTAAATAAACCGTGGGGTTTTGTGGAGACACAGTGTATGAGAAGAAGAAGGGGATCATGATAGGAAGTTTTGGGCAACACAGATAGAGATCTAACAAAGAGCCGAATTGTAGAATACTGAAATTCATGATGGTTTACATTTTAAATCTTCATTTATATTTTTGCTTGGTTGTGTGGAGTCATTAAGGCAGAAATGAAAGATTGTTGTAATATCGTAAAGGAAGAATACTTCTGAAGTCGAACTGACCGAATAAGGCATCAGATTCACTATTACAATGAAGGAATGTACCATGCCAAAATTGCCTTGTTACATTCCCAGCTCATTTATTTTGGCCTCAACTTTGCAATTCCCTGGTCAGTTACTCATAATTCCCAATTTACTAAGTAAACCCATAAAATATATTTCTTGGTAAGTCGGAAAGAGAAATCAGCTTTCTTCTTATGCAATATCTGTCGTATTTCTTGCTATATTTCCCAACCCAGTGATTTCCTTAGAGTTGAACATCCTGTTTGGTTTATTAGTAATTAATTGTTAAAAATGTGTAAATCCGTGTCTAATCTGCCGGGCCGATCTATTATTAAGTCTATTGGTTTTTTCCTCACCCCACAGGAGAATAACATGGTGGTTTTTATAACCTTGTGTTCATTTCTCTCTACAAAGACCCCAGGGAATATTCCCTTCAATGATTACAGATGATGGTTTGCTTGAGACTAAGTTGGGTTTAGTCACACTGCTTTGTAACTTGTATGCAAACATTCTTTAAGAAGGTCGTTCGTAAAATCCCCCGTTCTGTGTCTTGAGTGTGCTTGCTTTAGCAGTTTTGTGATTTAAAGCCAAAATCATTCTTCTGAGTGGTTTTGTAATGTAACATTGTGTTATGTTATTGTCCGGTCATCACTGCACGCACAAACTCTACACTACAACCTCACACTTACAAGTAGACTGATAATTGTGTAAAAACTCCAAAGATTTAAGTTAACAGCAGTTACCAACACGTAGGTAATTTCCAAGCTAGTTACTGTATTCACCTTCAATGTATGGTTATAGACAAGTGGGCAGGAATTTGGTTAACTTTTTTCCCCTTATTTTCCAGTGTCCCATTGTGTTGTTGAGGTGTTAAAATCCAGTGGAAAAACAGGATGGCCCAGGCACTCAAGGTTTGTATATCAAGAAGATGTATCGGAGAAACACAGGAATGTTTCAACCTCCATTGAGGTCTTTGTCAAACTTGACAAAGACCTCAGTGCAGGTTGAAACATTTTGTTGTGCCCATGTTAAAAAAAAAACAAACAAAAAAAAACACAGTATAAAAACAGAATAGTTCAGGAATGTTTCGATCTCCACCGAGGTCTCTGTCAAGAGGGGTCTTTGCTTGCTATACAAACCTTGAGTTTCTGAACCAACCTGTTTTCCACTATTTGACCAAGGCTTAGCCCACCTCAGGTCCAGCTAAGCACCTTGGATGTGAATGGAGTGCGAGCTACCTCTTTTTCTTATAAGTGTTTAAACCCAGGGCCTAAATAAAATTGAGTGCACAAAACATGTAATTTGTCAAATAACAGTTAAAACTAATAAAATATAGAAAAATATAATGTTGAGCTGCTAAACCACCAACAGCATTTCTATAAATGCAAGAAAAGAAACAAAAAAATAAAGATAATAAACTAAAAAAATGAAACTGACATTTTTAGTTTTTACAACCCATAACATACCTAGAATAATTGTTCTAGTATGAATGTTTTTAGTGGTGAGGTAGGTTAGCGTCACACCTCACTGCATTTATGAACAGTCCATTCATAAACATGGGGAGGGCTGGCAGCCTTAGGCTTGGGGGTCAAACCCAGTCAAGTGGCCCATTGGACCAAGAGGAGAGTAAAAACACCTTTCCCATGTGATAGAAAGGGGGGGCAGCCGCTTAAACAGACACACTCACTGACAGACACACACACAGTTGCTGATTTGGCACTCACTGACAGGCACACACTCACTGACAGACACACTGTTACAGGCATACTGACTTACACAGACAGACATACTCACACACACACACACAGACAAACTAGTAGACACAGACATACTCATACACGCACATACACCCAAACTTTACACTTTTAAAGCCAGTAGACAGGGGCTGAGTAAGGGGACATGGTTGTATTAGGGGGCTATGGGCTGTAGTGGAGGGTATGAGCTGTAATTGGGGGTTAGAACATTTAGTGGGGGGATAGGGGCTGAAGTAGGTTGATGGCTACAATTTGGGAAAGTGGCTGTGGTGTGGGCGATATGGATTGCAGTTTGGGGAGAAGAGCTGTAGTGGGGATGTTATGGGGGCTGTGGTGGAGGAATGGGGACAGGAGCTAAGAAAGGGTGGGGGGCAGGAGCCGAGGGGGGGACAGGGGTGAGAGGGGGCAGGGGCTGAGTGGGGAGGGCAGGGGCTGAGGAAGGGGGGCGGGGGCTGAGAATGGGGGATAGGGGCTGAGGATGGGTGATAAGGGATAGGGGCTGAGGAAAGGGGGAGGGGGACAGGGCTGAGCAAAGGGACAGGGGCTGATGAAGGGGGACATGGGCTGAGGAAGAGGACAGGGCTGACTAAGGGGACAGGGGATGAGTAAGAGGACAGGGCTGGGGATGGGGAATAGGGCTGAACAAAGGGACAGGGGCTGGGAAGGGGAATAGGGGCTGAGGAAGGGGACAGGAGCTGAGTAAGGGGGGGGATACAAAAAAAAAACCTTAAGTGTATTTCCCCCCTCCCTGAGTCTTACCTTAGGCCAGGGAGGGGTGGGTAGCAGCCAGCAGAAGCCTGCATCCAGCACAGAGCAGCCAGGGAAGTCGGCCCCTCCTGATGATGTCCGGAGGAGGGGGCGTGACTTCCTCTGCTCTTCTCCCAGACTCCCCAGTGGTCCTGTGAGAAAAGCTGTGGAAGTCACGCCCCTTCCTCCGGACATCATCAGACGAGGCCGACTTCACTCGCTGCAGGGAGTGAGGTAAGTTGAAAAACCAGAGTCCCCAGCCAGAGGCAGAGGCAGGGGATTCGGAATTTTCCTTTTGTTCCTGGATGCGGGAGGCCTGGGGGGCAATTGCAGCCCGGGGGGCTATTGCGTCCCAGCCGCCCCAGTTCCTAAACTTTTCAGACCTCTTTGTTTTTTCCAAATTTGTTATGGTCCTTTGGACTTATAGATTGTGGATAAATTGCCCTGGCAACTGAAAGGGAATTTGATTACATGCTGCCCATAGCCAAAGAACATGCTCTATATAAAAATGTAGTCGCTGCTAAAAATATAGTTAAGATTAATTATAAAATTTAAAACAAGGGGAAGCTAAGGAAATAAGTGGATTAAAAGGACACTGTAGTTCCCAAAACAATTTTTGGGTGTTTAGATCATGCCTCTGAGGCCTCACTGCTCAATTCACTTCCATTTAGGAGTTAAATCACTTTTCTTTCTGTTTCTGCAGACCTAGCCTCACCTCCCCTGGCTGTGACTCACACAGCCTGCATAAAAAATGGTTTCATTTTTAGCCAGATGCTAACTCGCTTTAGAAGTTTTTATCGACTGATCTGTAAATTGAATTTTAATCACACACAGAAAGCTCCTGCAAGGTCTAATAACAGAGCAGGGGATAAGACATTCTAAATTACAATAAAAATAATTTCACAAGAAATTCTAAATCAGACTGTGTAATAAAGTTAGTAGAAACATTAGATCTCACGTTACAGGAAATGTTTAGGAAGGCTATGCTTGTTACATGCAGGGAGATGTGACATGCACTGCATAAATAAAGTGATGTAACTCCTAAATGACATTGGATTGAGCAATGAGACTGCAGGGTCATGATCTATACACAAAAAGCTTCACTGAGCTAAAGTTGGTTTGGTGACTATTGTGGAATACCATGTTGCTTGTCTCTCCCTCCCTGTGGATTAAATCTCACCCATGTTTGTGAATCTGACGATAGCTGTTCTATGGTTATGTCGGCATAAATATGTAGCTGCTTTAGCGCTTGTTGTTTTCTTTTCTTTTTTTTCCCATTTTATCTCATGTACTTTGCTGAAAAAAGCCTTTCATATCTAATCCAACTATCATAATGAATAAAAAAACACCAGATGTAATCAGCAGCATCTCTATTGAGATCTATTGTGTGTATGAGTACATCAATCATGCTTGTTTAAAAATTTGGCAGAGGCTGTTATATAAGATTAGTAAGTTTTTCATTTTCAGAAAAGGCAAAGAGCATGCAAATCACACGGTTAGAGAAAAGAGGAGAACAGACCTCAAACTATGCCACACAATCATACACAGATCAGCAACAACATGAAATCCACCTGCCTAATATCATGTAGGTCCGCTCACGTTCCCAAAAGAGCTTTGATGCGTCAAGGCATGGATTCCACAAGACCTCTGAAGGTGTCCTGTGGTATCTGGCATCAAGGCATTAGCAGCAGATCCTTTAAGTCCTGCAAATTGCGATGGTGGGGACTCCATGGATCGGGTTTGTTGTTCCAGCACATTCCTCAGATGGGCAATTGGATTGAGATCTGGGGAATTTTGAGGCCATGGCAATACCTTAAACTCTTTGTCATGTTCCTCAAATTATTCCTGAACAGGTAAACAATGCGCACACACCTGACCATCCACCTCATCTGCAAGAAAACGTAATCTGGTGATACCAGGCAACCTTCTCCCATCGCTTCATGTCCCCCATTGAAGGCGCGTTTGTCATCATGGGCACAACACAGTCCCATATGCAGCAAACTGCAATGCACTGTGTGTTCTGACAGCAATTTGAGCTACAGTAGCCCTTCTGTGTGATCGGACCAGGCGTGCTAGCCTTCGCTCCCCATGTGTATTAATGAGCCTTTGTCGCCCATGACCCTTATGCACCGGTTGCCCTTCCTTGCACCACTTCTGGTAGTTACTAACCACTGCATACCGGGAAACCACACAAGACTTGCAGTTTTAGAAATGTTCTGGCCCAGTTGTCTAGCCATCATTATTTGGCTCTTATCAAAGTCACTCGGATCTTTTCGCTTGCCCATATTTCCTGCTTCCAACAAATGCAATTCAAGAACTGACTGTTCATGTGCTGCCTAATATATCTCACCTGTTGACAGGTGCCATTGTAACGATATGATCAATGTTATTCACTTCGCCTGTCAGAGGTTTTAATGTTGTGGCTGATGAGGGTATAGCGTCAACGTATCCCACAGTACTTTATAGTTAAGCAAGATTTGATGTTTGAACGTCAAGCAACTGTCTGACAAAATAATATTGACCAATACATCAGATGAAGAGGACCCTTCTCAAATGAGCTTACAATCTATGAACAAATGTGGTTATTATACGGGCTAAATAAAATGGATAGCATCACTTTAAAAATGATTGGTAAATGGGAATAATTACTGTTATGACTGGTTAGAGTTTGGAGTAAAAGTCTACACAGATTTTATTAAAGTGGTGTCTGCAAATCCTGTCGTGTGACTTGTAGCAGAACAAAATTACAGATACTTTTAATTGTTGGTTATTAAAGTGTTTTCCTCATAACAGTGCCTATTATCCTTCTGTTGACATTAGGCACTTGTTGAGATCATACTGTTTACACTTTAGTTTTTTTTATTAAACCTCCATTCACCTTTAATTTTGTGTTATTAAAACTTGCTGAAGTGGCTTGGAGACAAGTTGTGCAAACAGTAGCAGATTAATATCTTTGTTCCGCAGTGTGCTAATCGAGACTGACGTGAAATAAGAAGTATGTCTGATATCGGTGTGCTCAGTGATATATAGAGACTCTCGTAGGTGTCGTTGAATAATTGAGAGTGAATACCCCTTACTGTCGTGCTAGAAAATTACATCAGTAAGCAAATTAGTGGGGGGTTTTGTTTGTTTTTAAGCAAATTAGTGGGTTTTTTTGTGTTGTTTTTTTTAAATTAGTGTTTGTATTTATTTATTTTGTGTTAGGAAAAATTAAATGGTAGGCATTACAACAAGCCCCACACATTTAATTGTATGTTCTTATTGCAACCAAACGATTTGTGCAGTACTTGATATGTTCGATTGTATTCACCTCTTATCTTTTCCGTTACTTCTGGAAATAATGCACCCATGGCATTCTGGGAGAGTTGTGGATATCGACTTTTTAAGTGCTAATGCGTCTGTAACTTTTGTAATATTGCTTTTTCTTATTACAGCCCTGTTTGAATGTTCTTCTATTTTAGAGGCCTCTTATTTTTTTTGAAGACCAGCTGCAATATTTTATCAGAACATATTCTTTATT